GGACAACTTTCGCCAGAGTTCCCCCAATCACAGGGTGGCTATACAGCTGGCCCCACGTATGCAGGAGGCTGGGGTCCTGGATCCAAACACTCCATTTGGATGTTCTAAAATTTGTAATGTACTAAAATGCCTTTCTTGAAGAACACAGAAGGCAAAGCCAGAATCTGTGGTGATATTGCCTTTTTATGATAGAATACATTGAAATACAAGTTTAAATATTTTGTTAATTATTATCATGATTTTTTATACTCTTCTTCGTTGGGCATGAAAAGAATGTAAAACAAATGTTATTCCTGCTGGCTTATGTAAGTATGGCATGCTTCAGAGCAGTCTAGGCAACCAGGATGGTCGTCTTGATATGAGATGATCAGAGCATTGGAACTAGTAGAGATCCTTCAGGTTGCTATCCTAGAGTTAGACGGATGCCTGCATCTTACCGAGGGGACACAGAGAGATGATGGCACCTCCTGCCCTGAGGCCACACCAAGAGTCATAGCCAGGACACAAGGACAGAGCTCTTGGGTTTTGGAGTCTTCCCCAAGAGTGGGGGCTATAGGTCTCAGAATTTCCACCATGGTCATGATTTCAAATATTCTGCCCCGTTGTCTGCACAATGCATTCCTACTTGTCAGCCTATGTGGCTCAAACTTTTGGAAAACATGGTCACCATCACAGCATCACAATGTCTCTCTCATATGTCCTTGGGCAGATTAACAGACGGCAGTTCCCCCATTCACAAGGTGGGGAGGAGCACAGTAGTACTCTTTGCTGGGTGTCCTGACTTGCTTTCACTCTGCAGCTAGGCTCTGAGCAGCTGCCCGCTGTAGGACGGGGTTAGATCTGATATCCTTTGATGGTTAATTTTATGTGTCAACTTGGCAAGGCCAATCACCAGTCTAGTGGCTGTGAAAGTACTTTTGGGATGTGATTAACATTTAAATCGGTAGACTTTGAGCAAAGCAGGTTGTCCTCCATAACGTGGGTGGGCCTCATGCAATCAACTGAAGGCCCTAACAGTAAAAGCTGAGGTCCCCAGAAGAGGAAGTAATTCTGCCTGCAGGCTGCCTTTAGACTCATGGCTGTGACACCAACTTCTGCTGGAATTTCCAGCCTACTGGCCTGCAGATTTAGGACTTGCCAGCCCCCACAAAATCCAGTTCCTTAAAATCTCTCCACACACATGCACGTGCATGCCTTATTGGTCTGCCTCTCTGAGAGCCCTGACTGACACAATCCCCAGCTGCCTGGTAGGACACATCCATTTTTCAATGCACTCATAAAGAACATTCCAAAAGCACATGGACATCTTATTCACCATCTCTCCCCTGATTATCTTATTCTTGACAAATTTTCCATGACAGTAAGATGGGATGTGTTCTTCTCTGATTTGGGATTTTTGTTTTTGTTTTTGTTGGCAGTGGTGGGTTGTTTGGGGGCTGTGGAGGGTTGGGGTTCCTAGCACGGCCAAGGAAAGTCTTATAAAAACCATGCAGTCATATTGATTAGCTGTGAGCTCAGCTGCCTCTACAGGGGCAAGAAGTGAGGTTGCTAAGGAACAAATTTGGTTCCTCTTTGGGGCCGTGGATTTTTTGGAGGATATGACAGAGCACATGGGTAATATCCCCCAGAGAAATACACATTCCTGCTCCTATCTTCAGGGACATGCAGGCCCTCTGATGAGCATCCACACACTCTGGAAGAAGAAATCTCATGTTTAGGAGAAAGCACTGCAGACTACGGCCACAGTAACAGCGAAGTTGAGGAGAAATAACCAGGCGGCAGGACTTAACCGAAGTCAACCAGCGTTTACTAAGTGCCTACTATACTCTGGATGCCAACAGAAGGGGCTGACCAAGCTCAGGTCTGGAAGGACTAAGCACTTGGAAGAAAGCGGGAGGACCAAAGAAAGAGACAACCAAAGAATCTCAAATCTTCCATCCGAAAGATACTTAAGAGAGTAACTGATCTCTTGAGTCTAAACTAGACGGTTAACTTCCCACAAGGAGATGCAGAATGGGTCTCAATAGTAACTCCCAACTTGTTCCTGCATTACTCTCACGTCTTTAAACGTAGCATGAATGACCACATTCAAAGAAGGCCCATGCAAACGTCCTCCAAGGACGAAGTAGGATTGCTCATTCTATCTCCAAGCAACGCAGTGGACTGCAGGAGGAAACACACCAAGAGGTAAGAATTGCCCAGAGTTCAAGAGTCTTGATTTCAGCAGGAGGACAAGGCTCCCAGAGCAGCCAGCAACATAGACAGGGAGCAAGTCACACCCTGGAGGAGAAGTTTTGAGAGTGAGACCAGGAGAGTCTGCTAAAGAAGAGGGGTGACAGCTCTGAGAGAGGAGACACTGGCCTAGTGGGGCTGGGACAGATGGGGTGGGGGACAGAACGGCAGGAAAAGACCTTGGCACCCACATCATGGTCTCTTTAGCTTGATTCAGTATTTTTCAGATTCTTCCATTTCACCTGAAGCCAAGGTCTCCTGTCACTAGAGCCCATTTTCTCAAATTGCAATTTTGTCCAAGATATTTTAATTTTCTTTTTCCTTTTGGTGGCTGGCTGGAATAGGGATCGAACCCCAGATCTTGTTATCAGCACCACGCTCTAATTTACTGAGCTAACCAGCCAGCTTTTGTCTGAGATATTTTAAAGATAGCAAATGGACCTATCTACACATTAACAGAGTTTCAGGAAAGAAGGAAGGGAGGAAAGGAAGGAGGAAGAAAGGAAAGAAGGAAAAAAGAAAGAAGGAAAGAAAGAGGGAAGGAAGGAAGGAAGGCCATCCAGGTAAAGCTTCCTTCTAAAAATTATTTTACTTGTCTAATATCAGAATAGTAAAGTCTGGCTATTGTTAACTTTTCTTTCCTGACTAGCTCAAGGGACGCTCAAACACCAGATTTAATCATTCTTTCCTAGTGTTTAGAATGAATCAGGATGGAGAAGAAGGGAAGAGGTAAATCAAACCTTGGGGGGAAGTTATCAAGTTGGTTGTCCTGGAAATAGTCAAAGACCTGTAGCTTCATTTTGGGTCATGCAAGACAACTTCAAATTACAAGACAGGATTCCCAACAGATCGCGGCATGTTTGTTGAGCCTCTCAGACACATCTCGAGTAATCGCTTCCCCGCTGGCCAGTGCTCAGCGGCTCGGTGGACAGGCAAAGAACTGAGGTGGCCTCCAAGTCCTCTCCCTCCTTCCCCCTCTCTCCTCCACCCCAGACCCCCTGCCCCTCATTCGGTTGCCTTTCTTCTTTCTCCTTCTAGAGGCACAGCTTGGGATTCTAGCCAAGAGAAGAGCTCAGTCCCCCTGTTGACTGCCCAGTGTCCTCGATGCTGTGAAGCTAATTTGGTCAGATCACAATGCCAGGAAGATAAGAATCAGAAAGAACAATTGTCAGGGTGACCGGGGCGAGAAGAAAAGGTGACCCTGATCACTGTCCAAGAATAGAAGGAAATCAATGACAACCCAACACACATCACGTTTATCTTCCCCACGAAGGGGAAGAAAATGGGGAGCAGCTGCTCTTTCTCCCTCTCGTGAGCTGACAGTGTGTGTAGGAGCCGCATCAGACCCAGCCCTGGCAAGCAAATCTTGTAGGATGAGCTATATAACTTGTGGGGCCCAGGATAAAATGCAAGTGGAAAATTTCAAAACGGGGACAGCAGAGCATTAAACCAAGCCAAGGTCTTACTAAGTGTGGGGCCCTGCACAAGTGTCCAGGTGGCTTGCCAGCAAAGCCACTGCCCAACATCCTACAGTAATGGGGTGACCTTCCAGACCCGTCTTGGGTGTGATTAGAGGTCTTGTCACCTAGTGTGAAAGACATTCAAGCCCTCAGGTTTAGCCTTCACTGCACTTCTTTCTTGAGGTGTCCGTGAAGCCAGGTGGGTAAGAAAGCCTCATCGAAGCTGCCACCCAGCAGGTGCAGAGATTAATGGACTAAGAGATCAAGGAAACCATGAGGGACATGAATCAAGATGGTCCAAAAACAGTCGCAGGTGGCCTTTCAAGGCCAAGGGTTTACATTCACAACCATCTCTGCGTCCCCAGCTAAGAATCACTAGCAGGCTGCAAGCAAGAGTCCCAAGGGATCCCAAGAACACCCAGGGAGCGGAACTTAGAGGCATCTGGTCCACATCCCAGAGTTTAGAGATCTGACCAGAGCAAGGACAAACCTCTACCTTGTTTGCAAGATGATGTCTCTGCAGAAGGAACTCCCTAAATGCTGAGTAACTGAATGGAGAAGTCACCAAATCCTCCCCACAGCACAGCCACACTCCCCCCATGGCCTCGGTGAGGGCTGCCTTCACGGCGGGGCAGGATCCAAGACCAGTTCAGGATGGTGCAGTCCAGGTCCTACCTTATTGTAGAGGGTTCTTAAGGACTGGAGGAGAGAAGGGAAGGCTCTCTGTGGCTATGGCAGCAGTACCTGGAGCCAGCCTGTGGGATACCTGCAGACGTCCCCCAGCCCAAGCATCCCGGAAGGCCCTGGGGCAGAATGGAGCCTGGCCAGGTGGAATTTCACCCCCACTGGGTAGGTTCTGTCCGGCTCTGCCAAGCTCACCCTCACGCTCCCCAAAGAGCAGGCTGCTTTCAAGGAATTTTAAACTCCTTGGAGCCTGGTGGGGCCAGGAAGGGGGACAAGCCCACTTAGCCCCTGGGGCAAGAGATAAACTTTCCGGGTTTCCTCTATCTCAGAAAAGAGGCTCGGAGAGGCTTCTCAGGTATCTAAGCCCCCCGGCCGGTTCATTTCCCCCAGATCACAGGCTCAGGATTGAGTTTCCCTGGGCCAGGCCCTCAGAGGCATTGTGGGTCACACCCTTGACCTACAGACGGGACCGGGCTGGCAGGTGACCCCAGCAAGAGCAAAAGGTGGTGCCAGGACAGGCTCAGGGCTGATGGGGCAGGGCTGGGGTGGGATGGTGTCCTCCCCAGAATGTGAAGATGTGGGCCCAGCCCGGGAGCCATGTCCCCACGCCCAAGGCTGACTCACTCAGGAGTATTGATCCAGATGATGTCCAGGTGGCAATAGTAGACACACTCCTTGTCCTTGTAGGTGAAGCACGTGCAGCGCCTCGCACGGTGGTGTGCAGGGCCCCCCTTGGCCACCGGCACCCCAGACTGACCTCGTCCCTGCTCCTGCCCAGGACTTCTAGGGCTTACACCCTGCGCTGCTGTCGGGACCATAGTCCCCTCACCAGGGCCGGCCACGGTCTCTTTGCTGTTGTTCCAGTCCCCCTCAGATCGGGCTGCAGGCGGCCCCTGGGATCTGTCGGTTCTGCCAGCATCCCCAGGCTGGGGATGAGGCACCAACCCTGCAAGAGGCAGATTGAGGGGCTCCTGAGCCGCCTGTGCCAACCTCTCAACACCCCGCACCCCAAAACATCTGGGAGGAGGGCTAGAGCAATCAAACTTTCTGCAGAGTTGGCCAGCTAGTTGCACTTTTTTCTCTAAAGTCTCCAAGCTATGCCAAAGGTTCTGAAAAGTTTGCAAAGCTATGGGCAGTTTCTGAAAAGCTTGCAAGTTATGTGCACACTTGGTGAGAAATTTGCAAGCTATTTTCACCCTCTGCAAAGCCTGCAAGCTATTATTTCCAGTTGAAAACTTGCACGCATTTTTCACGGTTTTTGAAAACTTTGCAAGCATTTTGCATAGTCCCTGAATAGTTCACAAACTCTCTGAACAGTTTCCAACTTCACGAAAAAACAACGAAATCAGCCCACGCAACAGGTCTCCAGCCTGCGCGTGGGCTGCAACCCCCGGATCTCATGGGGTAGTCCCTGCTCTGCACTCCTGCCCCTCAGCCCGCCCCCCAGCGTCTCCGGGGATGGAGAGCCCAGGCAAGAGTTTGCTCCTCCAGCCCCGTGGGTCCCCCCGCCCCGTAGTCCTTTTGTGTGCGCTGGCGCCAGGAGAGGCGCGCTTACCTGCGGCGGAGGTCACTGTGAGCCCGAAAAGGAGCCACAGCCCCGGCTCCATGAACCCGGATCAGGCGCGGGAGCACCGCGCCTGGAGGACGGCCACCTGTAGACCGAAAAGGCACTGGAGCTGGGGACAGACGGCCTCGCGCTCCAGCTGTGGGGGTTCGAGGCCGGCCGCTCGCTCGCCGGCTGCGTCCCCGGCTCCGGTCCGGGAGCTGGCTGCTGCGGTTCCAAACTTTCAGAGGGCGCTTCCCATCCCTGCGCAGGCTGCCGGCTGTGGGCTCGGGCTTTTCTGGCTCCCGCACCACCCCCCTCGCCTCCCCGCCCCCCGGAGGGGCTGGAGCTGCGGCGCGGGGCCTTTGAACCCGGCCGCACTGGGGGTC